ACTTTAATGTAATACAGTAATAATATATAAAGGATAGCTGAACACTCGGGAACTACGATGACTGACACCTAGAACATAACCCCTCCTCAGAAATAATAATAAAGAATCTAACAATTAAATAAACCAGTAATATGTGTTGTTCAATTAATGTTCATGTTTGCATAGTGTATTTATCTGATTTGCATCTATAAATAAATGCATTTTGGTATTTGAAATCTATCTTTGCTATTTCTTATGGATTCTGATCATTGTCGGTAGTTCATCCTGATATAAATGCCGTCCCGTCCCGTACTACTACCGCACATATACCGATACTCTAATACTATAACCCGGGTTTGCACCTGTGCAACCTGGCCAAAAATGAAAATACCAGTGGCATCAATGTAGACTACAACGATATTCGGAGTCCGGCTTTTAGTATTACCATTAAAGCGAAAGTAAGGGATAAGCTGTTAAACTGAGCCTGCCGTTTCATAAAAATAAATATCACAATGCACATGTTTTTTTAAATAAAGTTATTAAATGCAAAAATAATAACATATTGGTTTACTTGATTTTTAATAATCAAAATAAAAATTATTAACACAACATGACATTAACTGCTAATACTAACAGCTCCAACCATGTGCCTAAAAACGAAGCATTTCATAAAAGTCGACGCCTCAATGGCGTCGCCAATGAACGGTAATCATCGTTCCTTCTTATTATCACACAAAACGGAGCAACAGATGGAACCGAAAGGACTGTATACTTGACTAGTCTCATATTTTCGGAGGCCCCCATATTTCATTTCCGGTCGTAAATGACAGCTCGTGCAAATGATCCTACTATCCAAACAGCAGTCAAGATTTTGCCGACACTTGTTCCTATTAAAAAGTACCGCTAGAATGCATTTTAAACAGGTAAACCACATAAAAGGAAGATAAATATTCATAGTAATGCTCTTAAAATATAGTAAATTTGCAATATTTTCCCCAAGAATAAAATCCGTTCTCAATCTGCCACAGTTGCCTACCTTGCGAGAGCTACTTAAGTACACGCGACAAAAGTTTGTCGTAACATGTTAACCTATGTTTTATTATAATTCAATTAAGATGTCCAAATAGACGTTTTTGTTGTTAATTAAAACATTTACTATCCGGTGACTAGGGTAGTTTTAAAGTCAAATTCAGGCTAAGGAGGTCATGTCTGGCTGGTCCAACGCTGCTATATTCCAGCAATATTTGGAAGAGCATTTTCTGCCATATGCCAGACCCTGCCCACCAGACAAAAAAAATTTGAAAACAAAGTGATCCCTCGGAAGCATTTATCACAACAAAATTGCATAAAATTGCAGACTCGGTTTGATTGAGTCTGTACATGAGGGATAATGACTAAGTGCAACATCGCTTACGCCCCTAGCACCGGCTTGAGCGGTACTCAATTCTCAACACTTAATAGTGCTGTCATCAATGATCCCGAATGACCAGAAATATATATAACAACACTGAAGTGAAGTACGGGGCAACTGTTCAGCCAATCATTCTTATCTATGACGAACACAGTTCACATAAATCCCCACAACTCATCAATTGGGCTAGGGAAAGAGGATTGATACTGTTTCTATTGCCAGCTCATACCTCGCACCTGCTACATCCACTTGATGTTGCCGTGTTTGGGCATTTAAAAAGTATCATTATTCGGAGCGCTCCAGTTTCATGAGCAGGCATATTGGTCAGATAATCACAAGGTATTAGCTTTACAATATCGCTTGTAAAACTTATACCTTCGAACATCCAGTCAGCTTTTCTGAAGACAGGCATGACCCGGCCGTCGTATCTATAGAGAAGTTATTTGCATGTGAAAGCTTTCGGAAAGACAGATCAGGGTTTAAATACAGGCAAAGCAGAGGACGAGTCATTCCTCCTTCAGAAGGTAGAAAATACGTCCAACAACGCCTTGCCATGCTCTAAATATAAGATCGCCAAAGACACAAGGCCAGATGCTGGACGTAGAGCTATCACTTGTGACGACTTTGTTACAGAAATTGACTAATATTCGCATCAACGAGCTCAAAGTACACCAGTCCACTAAACCACGTCAAGTAGTCACGGACAGCAGCCAAATAGCTTCAACCAGTGGTCTTAACCATGCCAGAAAATTGCCACGTAGAGTTTCTCCATCTTATTTCGAGGATGTGGACGATTTTGTCGCTGAATCAGATGTATGCTGCATGTGTAAGAAGCTGTTTCCGCGGGTCTGCACAATCTGTCTATGCTAAAATTCGTTAATTGGGCTCAGTGCGATGATTGTGGACATTGGACTTACCTTTCGTTCTGCACTACAGTTAGGAGTTGTCAGACGCCATTCCGCTTTTCTTTGTTCTCATTGCGCTGTTTAGATATGTTTATCAGTTCGTGTTAATTTTAAGATTTTCAAGTTCATTGATAATTTTATTACAATTATTATTTCTTTTCTCGTTTTTAACGTATTTTCAACTACATGTAGCAACAATAATGAACACAAAAAGTATCGTCGCCTAAGAATTCATCACTGAGCCTTTAGACCTTTAAATATGACGTCGCTTTGAGATATTTTTGCTTCTGGGCAAAGCAACGGCATATCGAAATTGCTCAAAAACCCATAGCACGTTCCGCCAGAAAATCAGGCGGAACGAAAATACAACTAAGACAGCGTGTATTTAAATTATTTTGACCAATTTATGAACAAAACTATAAAATGAATACCTTTTGGCAAAATAATTAAACTGTCACATCCGAAAAATCATGATTAAATCCTCTCATGTAATTAAACTCCTTAATTCAGCCGATAAACAAATGGCCCCCATACAGTGTGCGAAATCTGATTGGCTAATTCAAATGCAAGCATTTTACCGAGTCAAAAGATTCAAACGGAATATTTTAACGCATTAATTGCCCATGCACCGTCAGCGTGTTCGAATATATTTTTCAGTTCAAAAATTTGGAATCGATCTGTTAAGCGCCTTACTTAACCGGTATGGCCGATAGACAAAAATAGATTGATGTTTATATTTTATTTTAAATTGATAAGTACATTGTTTGAGAGTTTTTTTTATGATTGAGCATGAAATTGAAAGAAAAGAAGATAAGCTTTTGAATACAGCTTGAAAGGCAAGACATTAGACATTTTTTATCTTTTTATGATGCTATGTGTTTATAAGCAATAACTATTAGACGTCAGGCTTGACCGACATAAACTATAACAAGCCTGTAACGTCTGATATATTGGACTAACTGAGCCTTATGCCTTGATCTAAACCGATGTCTCAAATTAATTGAGTGTAGTATAGAATTTGAGCGAGTGCAGCGTTATTACCGAAACGAGGCCGTCCAATCAAAACTTTCGAAAATATGAGACAGCTTCCGAGCGACACAGACTCGGCTTTCTTAGGGATTCTGTTTTTCTCTATTTCATTGTCACATCCGTGTTATTTGTGCTGTGTGGCGGTTGTAAAAAGTCTCGCCGTACATTTAATCAATGATGTTATATTTCCGATCCTTAAAGATCGTTTAGCACGACATTATTGTTGTGTATACATTTTATATGGTATTTTTAGTTTTTTCTATTGGCCTTTTTCAACTTGGGTGGTTTCAGTATTCCTACTTGAATACTGCATAATCACCGTTAGGATATGTAGACAGTAGCTTTCGCTTTTCAGTACCGTCGATGAACAGGCTTAATTAAACCAAGCCTGCAACTTTTTACAATTTTGTCTTGTTGGGCTTTCTTGAGGGATTCTGTTTTTCTCTATTCCGAAAGTGATAGAAGAAAGATTAGGACTTCATTATGAAATGATTTATTCTCGTAATTAAAACGGTTTCTTTTTGTTTGACATAGTTTTTATTTATACGAGTATATAGCTGTCTGACAAAAAAGTATCTGAAACCTTCGAGCAGCTAATACTTTACGACAGAAAAATCAATACACGAGCAATAAAAGAAAGTTTAAGCTTATCATTATTAAAGCTTCAAGTCAATCTGCCTGTTTATAGTAATTAAAACAGTGTGCACCTATTTCTTTAATTTCTATTTTTATGCCTTATCACATTTTCATACGACGGTGGCGGCATAGGCGTAGACCCATAATTGTTTGGATTCGTTCGCTGGCCTGCAAGCATGGACGTCCTTGCATTTGGATTTGACTGATGGTTTGTTATGTTTCGTCGTTGATCGTATCCTGCATGGTTTGTGTTTGTTGTTACCACAGCATTTTCTGCAAATAAGCAATATTTCTCTCGATAATTACACCCTTATGTTTACAAACGTTGATTTGAAGCATTAATAGCAAATGAAAACCTCAGTTTATGTTCGAATGAAGAACAACGAAATAATGCATTACAAAATATCAAGCTTTAATAGTGTTTACATTTAAGAGTGTGATAATAATAGAAACACTCTCTTTGATTTAAAGATAAATTTAAAAAATAATAGCTAACTTGGAGTTGAAATAAAATGAAACTGTATTTTCCTTAAAATGTATGTAAATAAGGTATTAAATGTTTGTAATCGGGTAAAGAATGTTTGTAATAAGGTAAGGAATGTATATGAGTTAAAGGTACATAATGCCTCTGAAATTAATATTTTTTCTGTCTGTAGAACGGACAAACATGAGTTTGTTAATGTTGAAATAAATAATGGTTTTAAAGCATGTTAGATGCTTATCATATGAAGAAAGTACCCTCGAATTTGAAATTATTTGTCATGAAGTAGAAACAATGAAAAAAAGTAGGATTTTTCTTCCTTAGAAAAAACTTAATCACAGTAACACTCATTACCAAAAGGCATCAGAAGCAAAAGATTATTCAGGTAATTGGCAGATAAGTAACTTTTTGGAAACTATAACAGGACACCAAAAACAAAAATAAAAATTTTGAGAAATAAAAGTAAAAGCCTTTCTTGTGCATAATCGGCCTTTAAGAACAGAATGTTTAAAATATAGTATTAAATGTTTATAATGAAGTATAAAATGTTCATGACATCAAAATTAATGTACTTTGCATTAAAATGTTAACGTTGAAGGTTTTAGAAGCAATAACTGTTCATGTACATAGCGCAATGAATACTGTCATAATGGTCTATAACAAAATCTGTGATTACATTAACTTTGTGTAACTGAAGATATATTTAAGTGAATAATAAATAATCTTACTTGGAACAGTTACAGTAATAGTTCGTGTTCGTGTTACAACTGGTGGCGCTGTTACCCTCATACAAATACAACAAACTCTCAAAGCAATGCCCACAATTGCTACTATAATAACTGCAACAATCCCAATGATGGCACCTGCAGACCTAGTGTGTAAAAATGTTATTATTATAATTTCTGCAATGACAGTCCTGGCGATAGCACATGCACACCCAATGTCAATGTATAAAACATGTTATTACAATTGTTGCAACGACAGGAGGAAGCTAAACAATATGCCAGTTATTCTAGACTTTGGTTGGTAGCAATATCTTAAGAAATATCAGCTTCGAAGTGTCAAAAGCGACTGCATCTAGTAAATTAAATAAATACGTTCGTTTCACTTTAGTCACACGTTTTGTGCGCTTGAGGACCGTTCAGCGGTCGTTGACTGGTTGTCAGTGAGTCGTTCACTGCAAAGCAAACGATTTATTACAACCAAGTGGCGATTGAGTAGAGACTGACTAACGAAAGCCGAACGTGTGCAACGCTCTTAAACGTTCTTCAGCGTTTGAAATTTAATCGTTGAAGAACGCTGGTCTGTGCATGTTCAAAACATTCTTTTGTGGACCAGCGTTCACTGGCGTTAACACAACGTTCTTCTGGTGCTATCTTAGCAACCATGGGCGACTACCAACGTTTCCTCAAACTCATAGAACGCTGACCAAAACGTTGTGGTGTGACGTTTTTTAGAGAAAAGACAGACTAAATTACGTTGTTTGTTATACGATTATTACACATGAATGTGTGTTTGTTTATTATTTGTTATAAAGATTTTTAACAGGTTATATGATCCTTTATCACATAAACCGAGGCGCGAGGAAGTGTAATAAAGCCACTGTTAATTAAAAACGTAATTACACTAGACGAATATTACCAACTAAGTGTAATAACACTTTTTTTTTTTTGTTACAAGCGCGCCAACTGTTAGCGTTACAGCTAACGGTCAAAGAAAATGATCTGATTAACAGTTACCGTTTTATTTTAATTGATTAAACAGAATATTATATTCGTGCTAGCCGCGTTGCATTAGCCTCGGCTGTTTTTTTTAAAAATGGGTGATTCCTTTATTAATTGACAGTAGCCGCGTTGCAAAACTTTTAAACCAAAGAATGATTATTTATTTTTATTACCCCTCACTTTTTTCGTAATGCTAATTTCCCATAGGCCTCTGGGAGTTATTTTTACTGTTAATGCAAGTGTACCACGTGACTAAGAATTTTGTACTGTTACATAGGTAACAGTATTTTTTAACAGTATAATCTGGTCACGTGGTCTATTTTCTAAATAAAATTAAATAAAATGGCCGCAATTTTTTCTCTCGATTCATTCTTATTTTCAACGTTAAACCCCGATAGGACATCCATTTCTTCTCTGGAGTAACTATTACACTCATAAAATTTAGTTGTTTGCAACCTGGTGTGCTTTTCGCGTATAAAATATCTTTTTGTTGGATAGTCAAAAAGTGAACATATGGTGGACAGACATAGGATATCATCGTTATTTTGTCAAAACCATGCTAAGAATATTCTGGAAACAGAAGGATCAGATTTCACAGATCATAACCGTGTAAATGAGTTAGTGTTTTGTTTTCTAAATAAAACCAAGCTTATTGTATGTTTATGATTTGTAGATATCATCACTTGCTTAAAGAATAAAAGAAAAAGAAAACGTCTCAAGTAGGCCTAAAGTACACTTAAAACTTAAAAGGTAAGGACAGTTTAGTTATTGTTACTCTTGGTTTATTTGTGTAACAGTTAGATTTAGTTGACAATTTCAGATCAACACAGTATTTTTGTTCGGGGTAATAAAATAAATAACACATGGGTTTGTGAGTAACAGTAAAAATATCATCCCTCGTAAAAATACTGTTACCATCGGCTACGCCTCGGGGAACAGTATTTTCCTCGGGATGATATTTTTACTGATACCCACAAACCCATGTGTTATTTATATATTGTAACTTAACCAAATTTGTGGCACGGTTATCATTCTTTAGGATAATAAAAACTCATTATATTTGATTAAAGTACGTCCTCTATCTCTATCTAAAAGGGGCTTGATTGCGGGTTGTATTTTTGACAATATTTCTTCCAAACTTGCGTTTAATGTACTATGATGTAAGTGTGATCCATTAAGTTGCGTGCAAAATTTCAGATCTTTCGCAACAAAATTCAACGCATGAGATGTGTGAAGTTGGCGGCCTGGCGACGTGAAGTTGGCGGCCGGCGGCTGGCGGCGAGAAGTTCCTTATATTTATCAAATCGTCATAATATACATCAAGTAATCGTAATCGAAGCTACTTCCTGCATTTTAATGATCAACAAATAAAAATATTGAATTACTCACAAGCCATTATCACAACAGTCTGTTTCACAACATTCTTCACAGTAAGATATGCTTCCGTCACTATAGTAACACTCATACTCCCTGAAATAAAAACGAATATACCATTTTAAATATATATGCTCATTTAAAATAATTTTAGTTTTTTTTCTCTATAATGTTTTATCATTTACTAACACTTTTGTCAATGTTAAAGATATTATGCTTTTGTTCTTTGATTTTATTATTTAATTTCGAGATTAAAATAAATGTCAAATCTTTAATTCTATTAATTAATCATATAAAAAGTAAAAGCCCCATTTTACTACAATTTTGATTTCTTTGGGCCTATGATTTAAATTTTAAATTGGTGTACAGAATAAGTCTATGTTGGAAAAAAAGCAAATGTACTAATCGGCAATAAAAATTTATATTGGTAGCTGACTATTATCAGATATGTAGCTCAATTTTGATAATTTATGAAACAGTGGATCGGTAAAAAGAGTAAAGTAAATAAAATCACCCAGATACTAAATTATACAATCGTACGGCAAGATAAAATCTGATGTTTGAAGTTATACGAGATAGATGAGTCACTTATTTACACCGATCCTTCCAATATAATTTTTCATTCAGTTTATCTTCGGGAAACAAAAAGTCAATAACAATAGTTATTAATACATAAGAGTCCTTATTGCCAGACTACCATTTCATGCAATTTAACAAGGTGGTCAGTTAACGGCCGTCCCTTGTCCCTGATATGTAAGTATGTGTGTTAAAAGGACCTTAAATTACATCATATTGCATGAACAGACCCGAAAAAACCTGTGTACTGGATTCACACCGTCTGGTAACTAGCTATACCGAACAGTGTTACATATTGTTGCTTTTTTTACGTTTTTGTAAGACATCTTTTTCTGTATGTAATGTATTTTTAGGGCAAACGTTTAAAGTATGTGCATAATTGCATTAGAAAATTGTTACTGTGTGCTTCTTAAACATGTATTGGACACCTTGTTACTTGGTGTTACTGTAACTTGCATTGAACATCTTGTCACTGTGTGGTTCTCTAACTTGTATTGGACATCTTGTCTTCGTGTGTTAGTGTAACTTTTATAGGAAACCTTTGTCAACGTGTGTTACTGTAACTTGAATTGGACATCTTGTCGTCGTGTGTTACTGTAGCTTGTATTGGACATCTTGTCACCATGTGTTACTGTGACTTGTATTGGACATCTTGTCACTGTGTGTGACTGTAACTTCATTGGACACCGAGTCACTGTGTGTTACTAAACTTGTATTGGACACCTTGCCAACGTGTGTTACTGTAACTTGTATTGGACATCTTGTGCTCGTGTGTTACTGCAACTTGTATAGGAAACCTTTGTCAACGTGTGTTACTGTAACTTGAATTGGACATCTTGTCGTCGTGTGTTACTGTAGCTTGTATAGGACATCTTGTCACCATGTGTTACTGTGACTTGTATTGGACATCTTGTCACTGTGTGTGACTGTAACTTTATTGGACACCGAGTCACTGTGTGTTACTAAACTTGTATTGGACACCTTGCCAACGTGTGTTACTGTAACTTGTATTGGACACCTTGTCACCGTGTGTTACTGTAACTTGTATCGGACATCTTGTCGTCGTGTGTTACTGTAACTTGTATCGGACATCTTGTCGTCGTGTGTTACTGTAACTTGTATTGGACATCTTGTCACCGTGTGTTACTGTAACTTGTATTGGACACCTTGTCTACGTGTGTTACTGCAACTTGTATTAGACATCTTGTCACCATATTTTACTGTAACTTGCATTGGACATCTTGTCGTCGTGTGTTACTGTAATTTGCTTTGGAATCTTGTCAATAAGTGTTACTGTTACTTGTATTGGACACGTGTCACTGTGTGTTACTTAACTTGTATTGGACATCTTGTCACTGTGTGTGACTGTAACTTTATTGGACACCGAGTCACTGTGTGTTACTAAACTTGTATTGGACACCTTGCCAACGTGTGTTACTGTAACTTGTATTGGACACCTTGTCACCGTGTGTTACTGTAACTTGTATCGGACATCTTGTCGTCGTGTGTTACTGTAACTTGTATCGGACATCTTGTCGTCGTGTGTTACTGTAACTTGTATTAGACATCTTGTCACCATATTTTACTGTAACTTGCATTGGACATCTTGTCGTCGTGTGTTACTGTAATTTGCTTTGGAATCTTGTCAATAAGTGTTACTGTTACTTGTATTGGACACGTGTCACTGTGTGTTACTTAACTTGTATTGGACATCTTGTCACTGTGTGTGACTGTAACTTCATTGGACACCGAGTCACTGTGTGTTACTAAACTTGTATTGGACACCTTGCCAACGTGTGTTACTGTAACTTGTATTGGACACCTTGTCACCGTGTGTTACTGTAACTTGTATCGGACATCTTGTCGTCGTGTGTTACTGTAACTTGTATCGGACATCTTGTCGTCGTGTGTTACTGTAACTTGTATTGGACATCTTGTCACCGTGTGTTACTGTAACTTGTATTGGACACCTTGTCTACGTGTGTTATTGTAACTTGTATTAGACATCTTGTCACCATATTTTACTGTAACTTGCATTGGACATCTTGTCGTCGTGTGTTACTGTAATTTGCTTTGGAATCTTGTCAATAAGTGTTACTGTTACTTGTATTGGACACGTGTCACTGTGTGTTACTTAACTTGTATTGGACATCTTGTCATCGTGTGTTACTGTAACATGTATCAGTGTGTGTTACTGTATATTGTATTGGACAACTTTTTAACACAATCGTACTTACGCATGACCTGAAAATAGATTTACAAAATAATGAATATGACAAGTCCTCTTTAAGATTTTTATCATTATATATATCCGTCTTTCTAGATGTAATGCATAACGCCGCCAAAATGGTAACTGTGAGTGACGCTGAAAAATAAGAAATGGTTTGTATTCCTTTCTTTTAAATATCTTTTAAACGGTGGATTTGTTTTCGTGCAGAATTAGCAAATAAAGCAAAGGGTAGAGATTCACATATTTGGCAGGAATTTATCTTTTGATTCTCTCCCTTCTGCCTACCAGGTTTTAGGCATCAGAATGGCAGCCACCATTTATTCCTGCGTGATCTAAAGAGGCGAAAAAATGGGTTTGAATTACTGGGTTCATTGCATGTCTTAGCTCCAGCAGATGATGCGGTTTTGACCTCTGGTGTTGCATTAAGGTTGTAACACACGAGGTTAGCCAAAGACATCGTTCCTTTTTCCGCGCCTTGTGATCTAAATTGTGTCGGTGCGCCGTAAAACCAAGCAAACAATCATTTGTGATTAAGATTATCTGATTATAGGTCAAGATGTATGCAGAGTGTGCTTTAATGCGTAGGATAACTGTTAGAATAAATATTTTAAAATATAAAATGTTTGATCAATTTATTATTGATTTATTTAAGATTTAAATTTAGAGTCCAATTGTTTCTATTTGTAACACATACATGTATATTTCTCCTGATAAGTCAAATATACTTAAACACAATGATGTTGATATTTGATATAATAGAATCAGGCATGGCAAAACATAAATATTTATAAACGGAAATCTGAAGTCTAGAATTGCGAACAAGCGCGATTAGTCATTTACATTTAAAAAATAACTTAGAAAATGATAAAAATAAAATTGAAATACCAAAGATAAACTACAAGATATGCTTAGGAAACGACTTTAAAACCATTGTAAATTAAGGGATATTCTTACATGTAACGGTAGATTACAATAAGATAGGAGTGATAGGGAATTCACATTTATTTTTATTAATGCAACAACGGTAATTTATTATGCTTAAGCGAGTTTAACTGATTTTGAACACATTTCAAGTCGACTAAGGAATTTTCAAACGAAGTTGGGCTATTTCCCTTTTTAAAACAAACTGATGCAGTCTTTATGCTCATTCTTTATTTTATTATGCCCCCGGGCATATAGTTATTGAACCGTCTGTCCATCCGTCCGTTTGTCCGTACGAGGTTAACTTTAAACGGCAAGTTGGATTTATCTTGAGTTCTGCCTATACCAATGGCTTCATAATTTACACACTTACTTATCAACACTTATCAAGTCCATGATCTGGGCAAGTAACATAACTATGGCTTCCATTTTTTTCAAGTTATTGCCCTTTTGAGCACTTAGAAAGTTAATACTTGGTTAACCTAAACCGGCAAGTTGGATATATCTTAATTTCTATCTATACTTATAGCTTTATAATTACCACACTTACTTATCAATACAAACAACATGATATTACCAAGTTATATAACTGTGTCATCAATTTTTCCCAGTTATTTCCCTTTTTATCACTTTGAAAATATGGCCTTGATGGTTAACCTATTCCGGCAAGTTGGATTAATATTACATTTCTCCTAATTACTTCATTTATTTAAAGGGACTCCACTGAGGTCTTTTGACATGATGGGACTGAAAATATTTTTTCCAGATAAGTGTACCATTTGATGTTGGTTTAGACAACTAATCTTTGTGCAAAATTTCAGATCATTAGCGCACTTGGTTTAAACGCTTTTTCACTCAAATCGGGTAAAGAAAAGCATAAAAATATGATTTTCAATTTATTTCAAAGTATATTTCTTAACTATCTTTTAAATATGTATTTCTGTTTAAAGTGCCCCAGCTCATTCATGTCAGAAATTCAAATGTTATTTTTGTAGGCTTTTAAACCTCAGTGGAGTCCCTTTAATGATGTTTTTCATATTTGGTTGGTGGATACCTTAAATGGTCCTCTAATTTTTGTGGAGTAAGGGGTCTCAAGGATCAAACTCAAAGTCACTGGTGTAAAAAAACTAATTTAAACATTTCTGCTAAAACAGACGTCTTTAGATCATTATTGCCAAGGGAGGTCCTCTTCTTTTGGGTTAAGTTATGTGTCAATGTCAAGGTCTCTAATGTCAGAAATATATTTTTACACTTTTACAGATGTATCAACCTTTTTTATTGACAAATGTCTCTTATATTTGGTAGGAACATAAAATTGGGGTAATTTTCTTTGCATGGAGTTAGGGGTTAGTTGGGATAAGGTCATCAGTGCTAAAAAAAGATTTTTACACTTTTGCTCATACAGCCTTTATTTATTGACATATGTTTTTCATAATTGGTAGG